ATCATTCATAATGATGTGAAATTGATTGCTGTAATTTCTCATGCGACAGCATACTTTCGTGTCTAGTTAATAGTCTGTATTGTTAATGTAAAATGTGTGGGTGACCGAGACTTAACCTTCTTGTATTTTTTTCTCCAATTTTTAATTAAGTGGTTCACAAATAAGATTTTTAAGAACTACTTCCATCTTTCAAAATAAATTAATTTGTATTGAGGTGGTCACTCAGCGTCAGGGCTACTTCTTCTCTATTTGATGGACATCATTTATGAACAACCCCTAGTAACACTCCTAAACTCAAGGATTACATTGAAAAATGATGAAAATTAAAAATTAATCCAAAATAAATTTACATATTCATATATGCATATCAGCAATTCCTTCTTTTATTGAATTTTTTTTTCCATACATTATCCTTTTATAATGTTCTCTGAAGTATGGAATTGCTAGTGAATGCCACACACACACACGAGAGTATTCCGGAGTATTGCCATTATTGAACCTACAGTAAATCGATCGACCTTTTGAATAGATTGAAAAATTTAGGGTGGAATGAAATATTTGCCAAAAATGTGCCACTGAATGTGGAAATTGTGTGCACTTATCGGCCATAAATTCCAATAAAGTTGTCATATTTTATTGACAGACATAAACAAGGCATGAAAAAGTACTCAAATAATTATTGTTGCTGGAAATAAATCATATTTTATTTATTAATTGTGCTCAAGACGAGGGGACCCGGACGCGGAATTTAATTACATGTTAATTGTCCCAAATTGTCAATATGAACGACCGCTCATGCGACAATAAAAAGCTTGTAATAAGAAAAAACAGCTTCGCTTTATCACGAATGAGAAGAGCTTTAGTTGAACACAGAAATTTTATTTGCCTTACATCCTACAGAAATGGGCTCGTGAACACGCGATTGTAATTTCCGTCTTGCATATATCTTGGCATGTACGAAGTATGTATGAAATATTCTTTGACATAAAAGATAATAAAATAAAAAAAGTTTCTCTTGTTCCGCCTTTTCTTTGGGGATTTCCTGACGATTATCAATGCACTGATGAAAATAGATTCTATTTTTGCGATTGAGATATTTTTATAAAAAATATTCGCGAACGTGATTTTTTCCAAAAAATTTTTCTTGATTTATGTACTAAGCATTGAATGAAGAAGTAACGAGAGTTAAAAAGATGTGCTGAATCTATTGAAAATAAATTCATTCGTTTTCTTTTATTGATTTGAATCTAGTCAAATTGCTGCCAGCTCATTTCTCTCTCCTCGTTTCCATTATATCAAAAGAAATGAAAATTCAGAACAGAGAAAAGAAAGAAGAATGAAGAATCTTTATCATTCTTTGTGCCAGTGTCTTATAAACTATTTGTTGCGGCACTTCGGCTTTTTGAACAAAACTATTTTAAATTTAGAATATAAGGATTGTTACCATCCATATTCGAACTGTTAACACGTTTGTTTGAGATTCAAGTAATATTTGTTTTAATAAAGTTGCTTGCCCCTTTTTGTACAAATAACCATTTTTTCTACGAAGACAAACAACTTGTCTATGTCGTTTGATAATAAGACAATTCGTAAAACCTACCTGGATCTTCAGCAGTAAATTGACAAACTTCCTCCTTCAGCTTTTAAAAGTAGCAAAGAAAAACTTTTCTTAATTTTTCAAGTGTATATGACTCAGAAATGCAACTAGTTACACAGTTAAGTTTTAGAACTATGTAAGCTTGTGAGGCACAATGTAAATAATTTACGCTCTCAGATAATCTACCGCCATGGGACTCAAACCCACACCTTTCAAAACAAGAACTTTCAATTCCTGTTGGGTTTCTTAACGATCAGGTCACCTGATTCCTTTATTACTGTGGATATTATCCGGATATATGTATTATTTTTGATTAGCTGTTGTAGCTTGGGTTCGGAACTCATCATAAAATGTTTCATACTATCTTCAGGTTATCAGTTCTTCTTGGTTTTAGAGCAACTTAAACACAAAACAATTTTTCTTGAGAAATGGACCACCCAAATAAAACCGTTAAACATTCCCTGCTCTATCTTATCTCATATTACGAAACTTTCTTTTTTTCCTTTTCATCTCTTCATAAATTTCCTACTTTTATGCACATCTAGGGTATTGTAATATGATGTTTTTTTGTGATATATCATAGCTGAAAGAAATATAAAAATTTCTTGCTGTTAAACGATTTTCACAGCCACAAAAAAAAATCTTTAATTACGTGTTAATAATTCTTAAATGTTAAATTTTTTGTTTCACTTCCTTCCTCTTTTTCATGATTTTTAAGCTACACGAGTAAAGAAAGCAATTATTGATTTTAATAGTTCACTATGTTCCATTTTTATAGTCAATAATAATAGCTGACTCCTATCATAAAATTACTTACTCGACGTTCTTTTTTGCTCTCATCCGACGAAGTAGGAAAGAAAATTTCATCTTTTGTGATGGAAATCAAAAGTAAACACGTTGCTTGATGAGCTCGAATGATGGGATGTGAAGGAAATAAAAAAAAATCTATTGATTCTTTTTTCGTCGATTTTCAAGTGTGAAGTCTATAATTAATGAGTTACAAGTATGAATTGTAATTGAATTTTGTTTATGTAGGAAGAGAATATGTGAATTTAAGATTTATTACAAGCTCAAGTTGTTTATTATATTAAATTGGAAAAAAAGAGGGAAAAGTTCAGCACATCAATATTTATTCTGTCCATCACGCACATGCTTTTATTCTGAGGTTCTTATCGGATGTAGTGAAATGTGGGGCTTCTTTTATTTTATTAGGTTTTGGTGAAATTTTGATGTTTTCATAGGAAAAATATGAATCGTAACTGACCTAGTCACTAAAATGAAATTTTATATGGGTATTTTTAAGGATTCTGTTATTTACTTGGATGTTCTATACTGTGGATTAGGATTTACGACTTAATATTGATTTGTTTACTTAAATTACACGTCATAGATCTTTAAATTAGAGATTTGATGCTCAAGCACGTTTAAAATTTCGAGTTTTCATTTTTTGCTTAGAATTGAGCTTTTGCTTTGAATTCAAAGCTTTAACCTTTTATAGAAAATTGCTGATCACCGATCCAATGCCTGACGCCTTGAAAAACTCTAGAAACCATTCTGAATATTTCATAAAAGAAAAGTTACAATTATTTTTAATAAATTCCTCCACCTACGAATGTAAATATCTTCAAAAATTACTTTTCTTGCTTTGTTAAGTTAGTGAGACCTTAAGGCTTGAGATTGAATGCCACCCTCAGATAACAAAAAGTTTAAATTATTTTTCGAGAACTTCAAGCAGTCAAATAATTGTAAAACAACTTCACTCGAACTCATTCGTAATTCAAAGCCAGAATTTTCCCATAATAATCCATAATATTGGAATATTTTTGGAAACACTAATTTATTTCAAGTGTTTCGTGTCTATTCTGTATATGTTTATTTTTATATCGAGATGGAGCGTGTGCCAACATCATTGACACCGAAACGAAAGCGAACTTATGTGTCTATATGCATTCACATAATGTTAATGTATAAAATTTTATTATCAATATTTTCTTTTCCTCGATTTTCAATATTTTTCTCTCTTCTCGCTTTTTTTTAAATTCTGTGTGAGCTTCATAAAAAATGTAGAATCAAATCCTTCATATAATCAACATTTTTATGGGTTCAATATAGCTTTAGTGACTTGTATACTTTTATTCATTCATGCTTTTATGCCTGTTTACATTGAAACATTTGGAAAATTAAAAAAAAAGTGAAAATTCGTGGCAAGCAACATGCAAAAAGACACAAAGTTGCTTCCATATAAGATATTGTATAACTGGTAAAATGAGAAACTTGAAAATCTTTATGGAAATAAAAATACAGGAAAACATTTCCAAATTGAAATAAAACAGATTTGAGGAAATAAATTTATGAAAATTTGTATTCAATACGGCCAGTAAACTTGAAGGCAATCAGCTTATTCTTATTTATGTTGTAATTTCTCTTCCTTCTTTTAATCTTTCAATGGGTTTTTGAGGAACTACAGGTTTGTAAGATATAGAAACTTCAAGAAAGGAAAGGCTATGAAACTTCTAGATGATAAACAACAGAGAGAAAAATAACTACGAGCGGGACTCGAACCTGCTGTCTACGATTTCCTGTCGCTCCTACCACTGAACTATCGGGGGTTAGACGATTATATGGCTAAATTCAATACATAAGTTACATTCTTCTCTGAAAAGGAACTATTTCTTTTGATAGATTTTCAAATGAAGGGTTTGACAAGGAATCCAAGAGGAAGAGGTTTTGAGAAAAAAAAAATTGAGAGATTTCGAATCCCCTTGTCAGGACCCAGCTACACCCATGTACAACGATATTCTTTATAAAAAATATTTCCTACTTTCGTGTTCGACATGAAAAGAGATTTATTAAAAACCTGAATGAGGAAATTTAATGAAAAATTGTTTTGCTTTCTTTTGAGTATCGCGAAATGGGGAAAAAAAGTAACTAAAATTTCACATCTCCGTCCTGTCTAAATTTAATTCTTTTTATTGTGTACGTATCTATGGAAAACTTTTATGCTTGATAGAATAAGAATGAAAAATTTTTATTTAAACAATATAAATTTTTTTTATAAATGGAAAGAAAAACAAGGAAAAATATAATTTTTCGTGCTCCCAAAGGCATGTTCTGAAAATTTTTGGAATTTAATTTCACGGGAAAAGTTTGAAATGTGTGTATACAAACTGCCGTGCCTATACACATAGAAATATGAAAAATAATAAAATAATGTCTGCGTGAACAGAAAAGGGAATTTTTGTTGTCATTTCTTCTTTCCTTTTTCACACGAAAAAAATTCTTTGTTAAGAGTTGATGTTAAAATTTCTTTTTCTTGTCTCTTTTGTTGTATTTTATTATCTCATTCGGAATTCAACTCTCTTTTGTTCGTCTATCGATGATGATAAGAAGAGTAAAAAGGGACGAGATAATCATTCAATTATTCCACTTATACGGTATAATGAATTTTCAACAAAAATACAACAATATTGTGTAGCGAAGCTGTTGTGTTTCTGATTCCCCATCATCCAATTTGCCTGAAGGCGCAATGAACAGCAATTTGCGCACAATCTTCAAGAATTTTCTTACGCCAATTGGTGCATAGATGAAGACTCAAAGTAGTCTCGAAGTACCTAAGCAGGTTTGTTCTTTGATTCTTACTTATTATTATTACTAGACAAATATAAAAATAACGGAAGCATTGACTGTATCTTAAATTTTCTGCTCTACTTTTATTTCACACAAATAATTGCGCGTTAATATAAAAATAAAATAAATTGTATACAAAAGGTCCGTTCAGCATCATTCGATGAAATAAAATTAGATTCACAACGAACAGCTCAATATTTCACACAATCATCAACAGACTCACAAGCTGCATTATTATCCGTACCGAGTGGTCAACGATCACGCAGCTTTGATTCAGCTGGAATCGAATCAACCGATGCAAATGCATCATTTCTTGACATTCCAAGGCAGCGCTTTAGACGAAAGTCGAGTGCAAAGTCGCCAATATGTATACACTGTCAATATGTTGAGGAGCAGCGGAAACGTGGTAGTACAGCCGGATTTTACTTTGATGCTCAAGAATTTAGATCTCTTACCTATTCAAATTCATCCTCATCGTCTGACGAAAGTGATGAAAATGACAGTGATACGAAAAAAAGTAGTGAATGTGACGAGTCCGAGGAGCAGAATGATGACGATGAGGATACAGACATAGATTACTATTTTCAAAATCAAAATACCCTTCTACTACCTTCACCATGTAGCATTACGTTTACACTTTCGCCAACGAATTGTGATTATCCAGCCTTTCCCATACCGGGTATAGTGCAATCTATAAGTTCACCACCAGCATTGCCTTCAACACCTCCAGTTTTTCCAACATCACCCACGATAGAATTCTCACATGAGCTCGACGAAATTGAAATTCCTGGACCACGACAACGTAGACGTTCGATATCAAGACAGGAAGCAATATTTGTTGAGCCTACGGGTACATCATTAGAAAATGTATCAAGTACGTCACAAGACTCGGACAAACAGTCACAAGATAAAGAACAAAATGACATAGTAGTTGTAGCTAACGAAATCGAAGATGGAAATGTAACAAGAAAAAATTCAAATGCGCCTAAAGCAAGTGAACCATTTGTTCGTGATATTTTTCTCACCGTGCCTGACTTAAAGCGAGATCGAGCTGCATCAGTTGATTCATGTTTTACGAAAGTATCATCATCGGCTAAGACAGAAGAAGTTCAACCGCCTGAAGGCGAATTAAATTTATTAAGTGTACCAAATAGTGGAGCTGTGCGATCTCGTAGTGTTGACATTGTGCTTCCAACTGAACAGCAAGCACGTTATAAAGCTCTTGCATTAGCGGGACCAGGAAGCAATTTTTATAGTAAAGGGTAAGAATCATGACTGTCTTCTTATTCATTTGCCAATCTATTTTCAATAAATCAAAGCATAAATATGAAAATTGCCAAAATATTGGGATCGGGTTAAAACATGATAAGCGATTATGTTACGAACATTTTGAGCTATTTTATTCGATCCAAAATTACAATATTGGCAATAAAAGTCTCTTGTGAAAATAAATTTTCATAATTTTTCCGGTTTTATTATCGCTTGAGGCGGAAAAATTTGAAAAATCATAAAATCAAAAGTTTATCTTCGAATTTTATCTTTGATCACATTTTATATAGGGATAGATTTGAAATTAATATCTACTTTTTGATGCCCATAAAAAATATAATTTATAATTAACATCAATCAATTTTCGATCTTCAAAAAAGCTATTGATCTGGAAATTAATGAAATATTTGAGAAAAAACATTCTGTGCCTTTATAGAGATGATAAAATATCAATTAAAAAAAAATTTGGAAATTGAAATGAAATCATTTCTTGAGGAATCAAAATAAACCTCAAATTAGACCTTTTTTTTCTGTCGCATGCAAACCTTTTCTCGTCTGAATTTCATTTCTAATCATGAAAAGATTTAAACTTTGTAAAGTCAACAACATTTACGAAATAACAAGAACTAAAAATGGAGGAAGGATGTTATATGATATAAAACCACAAAATATTTAATAAATACCAAACTCCTTCCTTCCTAAAAGTCGCCCGGGGGACACATAATTACCGAAAACAATAAATTAAGCAAATATGCTCCCCACTAGTCATTATCTTGTTCAGCGAATACATTCAATTTGCATATTAAAGCTATTATCATAATGTAAATCATTTCGCGAGCAAACATACGGTAATTTAAATTTCATAATTGAAAAACAATTTATCTGCGATCAATCAAAATGGATAAACACGAAAATAAACAGTTTTAATATTATAATTTGCGTATTTGCTCGCGCTTTACTGTATTAAATTATATTTATCTTTTCTATAGAATCGTGTTCTGTTTAAAATGGCTTTAAAGCCTATTCTCGAGTTCCATTTTGAATGACCATTGAAAATGATTCAATTAATCCTCATGTAATGTTGAAAAGACTGACTAATTGCAATTTAATTGCTGTGTTAATTAATACAAAAGGACTGGCAAACATATCATTATTTGAGTGCTGTATGTTCTTTACAATTGTTGTTGAACAACTTCCGCTCCAAAAACATGAAAGGAATTCTGAAAAAATACTCAAATGGACCTTTTATCGCTTGAACTTTTCATTGTTATCTTTGAGCTTTAATGCCATATCGTTTGATGAGTGAAAATTACACATGCTTTGAGGTAAATGACAAAAAAAAGTTTTCTATTTGAAGAATTGACACAATTGTCATGTAAGCTTCTGGGTTGATTACAAATGAAATCTAATATTCAAGAGCGTTGAGCAGGGGCGTAGCTAGGATTTTTCAAGGGGGGTTCGCAAAAAAATTATTTTGTCAGAAATCAATAAAACCTTCTCTATTTAATTATTGAAAGCTAATTTAATTGCCCTTGCTTTAAACTAATTAGCTTCTGTTAATAAACTGTATGAAATTTCAATCTCAAGGGGTGGAAGAAGGGGTGCCCGGGCACCAGAGGACTCACCCTGGCTACACCCCTTGCGTTGAGTATTTCAAACCATTGGGGGTTCAGATTCAATCAGACGTCTTCATTGATAACTTAATTGAAATTCCCATTTATATTAGCAAGAGTCAAGCTAAAGAAAGACATCATTTTGAATCGACCCTACATAAAAATCAATAAATATTCCTGTAATAAAATACCCAACTATATTCATTTGGGAATTATTTACGTAACTTGATGCTTATTAAGGGATTGCCAAAATTAATTAATAAGAAGACAAAAAGCTTTAATGCCCATAAATTAAGAAGAATTTATAAAGTTAAAGAAGCCCATAAATGCTTAAACATTAAAATTCACTTTAATTATTATTCACAATCTTTCCCATTCAATGAAAAAAAAAATTCCATCTTAAAAGTTAAAGTATTAAATAATTTAATAGGAATCCATACAATTTGCTATTTTTATCTCGACGAGAATAATTTCATTATAAAATATTAAATCTATGACGTATAATTTAATTTAAAAATATATCACTCATTTAAATGACTAAAGTTTGTCTGATTAATAATGAAATTCGAACGAAATGACGTTGACGCTTCGCCTATATTTTACTCTCTTTTTTTCTGCCTCTTTCCACTTTGTCGGAACATAAACAAAAAAGTTTTCTTGCGTGAATATTAGGTGTACTATACTGCAGAAAAAAAATATAATTCAAACAAATGCTATTTTTATCGTTTGTAGTGTAATCAAGAGAGTGAACGAGAGAGACTAGGGTCAGACGATTTATTAAACATTTTAAAGCTTAGTCAAGCTGTGTTAATAGTCATTTTTTAAACCATCAATTTTTTTCCGTGAAATGAACGTCTATCTCAGAGGTTCTTGAACTTTATCGAGTTTGGTCCTTCGTAAATTTTGTAACATCCTCAAAACACCTCATTACTTATGATAACCATTTTTGTAAGGAAATCAGAAAAATTTGATATGAACCGGAACAAAATTACGAACTCCTCCCGCTTATGTGTTACAAAATATATGAATGATCCCTTAGTGGTCAATTCATAAATGATGTACGACATTTGAATTTCAATTTTGTGACAAGAAAGGAAGGAGGATCCAAAAATCTAATTTTTGAAGAACGTCATTTATGAATAGCCCCTGAACCAATAATATAGTGTCAAAATATTTTTACCAGACACACAAAAGATTTAAGTAATACACTAGTGAACCGTAGATCATAGTTTGAGGAGCACTGATCATATCTAGTAATTTAGTTCATGTGTATTCAAACTAGAATTCTACATATTCAAATTACTACACAAATCAATGCACAAACACTATAACCACCTTTTCTCTCACATTACATTTTTATCATCACATGTGCATACATATGTGATTATCATTATGTATTTTTCTCCATATTATCTCTTGATTACAATATAATTTTTTTTTGTTACGTGTGACTCATTCAGTCAAATATTTTTCACCTATTAAGTGTGCTTATAGTCTCGACATATTTTTTTATTCTCCAGAAAAAATACTTTTTTTGCATTTACATAATCAAAAACGACAGTTAATAAGCTGCATAGTTGTTGAATTGGAAAGGATCTACAACAAAAGAGTAGGAATAAGCATTGAGAGTAGGAAAATATCTGTGAATGGTGACAAATAAGTGAGAATAAAATACGCGGAAATATCTTTTGATGTTCAAGAAACTGTGAAAAATCTGACTAGAGTAGAATTAAAAACAATAGCGAGAAATGAGCATGAAGTGTGGCATTAAAAAATAGGAGTTGAAGAAAAATAAAAGAAGAATCAGAAAATTCATGTCAAGTGTTATTTTCCGTCTGTTTGACATGTGCAAATACAGGGAGACGTAGCCAAACGAGAGAAAAAGTTCCTCTCCAACTTTTTTTTTTGCCACACGGTTTACTTTTTGCATTCAAAAGAGAAAAAAACAAGTTTTGAGCAGCATAAAGAAAAGTTTTTCAAAGAGCTTTTCCCACTGCACATTGCTTTTATCCCTTTAATTTTTAATTGCAGTGCTTTTACTAGTTTGTTAAATATTAACATAGCTAAAAAAAGGTTCACAAAGTGAAATGTTCTGTTTCTGCCAATCACGCTACTCCATTAAATGTCAAAATAAATTGATTTTTTGTGCTTAAACATCATCCTTGTTTCTAAAAACGAGTTCAATCCCTTAGGGGTCGTTTGTAAATGATGTTTATTAAAAATTAGAATTATCGGACCCCCTCCTTCCCTTGCCACAAATACATAAAAGTGTCATTCAGCATCAAACCGCTTCATTATTAAAATTTTGACATCATTTACGAACGCCCTCACTCCCATTGAGATTTGCTGGATAAAAATATAAATGTACAAAATAAAGTAAATAACGTTATTTTAAGAGTAAAGAAAGACAAATTCTATCACATTTGTCAATAAGTAGCGTCTCTCAAAGACCTTACTTACGAATAATAATATTATAAAGAATCTTAAACTAAGGATAAAGAAAATAGCTGTGGAAAATGTGAGGAATTTTTCATTTTGATAAAGCTCACAGCAATTCATCATTGAAATGACTCTTACTTACTATGTAGCACACAACATTCATCTCATGATTCTTGAAATGAGCGCACGATTATAGAATAAACATTAAGGATGTCTTCGGCATGTCTATCCTCGGATGGTTAAAAAAGAAGAAAATAAAATATTAACAAAGTCAAAATGTGTAAATATATTTTGTTGGGATGTTGGGTTGTGCCAACAAAATATTTGACTTTATTTCTTATAAGCTTGTCTGATTATTATTTTTTTAGAGGAACAATAGAGCTTGTTTGGCTTTAAAATTCATTAAAACATACCTTATTCTTAGCGAAAATCTTTCCAATCTTTGAGGTTTGAACTCAAGACTTGAATAATCTGAATCAATCAAATATTTTCATCAAGACGTTGAGTTACAAAAGAGACTAATCATAGGCATGTATCATTCTAGTATGGCACAAAAAAAATATTTGTTAAATTGAAAATATTTGAAAATCTCAAAGCTAATTTACTTAAGCTATTCCCCTAATAACGAATGTCACTCATGCGTATGATCTTATTCCACAACAGACTCATTAGCACTCCCTAGGCATAAAATAAAATAAAATAAAATGAGAAATATTTTCCAGACTAAATAAAAGATTCTCAAGCGTATCAAACTAATGAAATAGATAGAAAAGTTGTTTCCAAGTTTTGCGTACAATGGAAAAGATATTGATTCAGATGAAAACAAAAAGAATGTGTATGAAAGCGTGTGTAAATGTTTATATAAGCCATAATATTATTATAGTAATACACTCAGCTCAATTTAATTAACAAGAGAAATAATTTGATTACAAAAAGTATGTATCAATGACAGTATTTATGTCACGTTTTAACAAACTTCTTCGTTATTGCCATTTTCAGTATTCAGCATACAAGAGATAGAAGTAATATTTATTTCCTGTAAGCGTTGAAGAATGTTACGAGATAAATGAGCATCTATAGACATTCCTAAACATCCATATATTTTATATTGACGTATAACCAAATGAAATTGTGTGGAAATAAAGAATTGTGCTCATTTAATCCACCTGAAAACCTCTTAAAATTGAGAAACTTGTGCTTGTGCGTGCACATAACCATTAATTAAAGAATATCGATAAATATTCCTCTCTAGAAACATTCAATTTTATTTTTTTTTCTATTCATTGCCATTCCTCAATCCTAAAGCTCGAAATTTAATTTACAAAAAAAAAGAAAGCTTTTTCGACCTCAATTCACTCGAATCAACGATGAAATCATCAAAGACGAAAGGAAAATTTGCGAAACTTGTTATAGTCAGCTTTACGACTCAAACATGCTTTAAATGCTACTGCCATTCCAATCAAAATGAATTATGTAATAGTATTAAATTCTACGGAAGTAATCGACGTAGAAGGAGAGCTATTCGTTATAGAAACAGAAATGGTTTACCGTTTAAATTTAGGTAGATAAACATGCAACGTATTAATTTTTTAATATTATTGAGATCAAAGATTTAATTATATGATATCCAAGAGAAGAAAAAAAAGGCACATCATGATGATATCCTTACAATATTATAAAGTTATTGTTATGATTACTGACAAAACAATTTATTTTCTCTTCTATCTTTTTTAATAATGAAAAATTGGAAACGTGTAGAAAACCAGGCGATAGTTCAGGAGCTCGGCAAATCAGAAACACACCAGATTGGTCAGAAAATGCTGTATCAGGAGATCATTTATGGGTGGCCACATCAGTTTCCGGTGATTGCTGTTATATCGGCGATAATGACTGTACAGTAAGTGCTAGTATAAGCTTCTTATTTTCCTATACTCTCCTCTTTCCTTATATTTCTAAAAGCTTTCATTAATTTATCATTGACTATAAAATTGTATACATGTACATGTGTATTGGAGTCGTTTGTGAATGACGTGCATGATGTTTAGACTTTAAGATTCATTTATGTGGATTTTAACTCATATTTTATGCATGGCAAGACCTCAGTACTCAAACCTAGACCAGTTTATGCCTATACGAGGCAAAGTTAAAGCTAGGTGGATGTAAGAGCTGCAAGAAGGTTGGATGTCATTCAATTCAATATCGCTAATAAAGAATTACTGTCTTTTGGTCCTACCTATGCATTGGTAATCTAGGTTAGAAACTTAATTACTGATGCAACTGTTTATTATTCATATTTATGTTGGACGTCATAACTTGACATCCCCTATGGTACGAAAAAACCGGAAAGAAATATAAAAGATAATTTATATTATAGCTAACACGTTTATAAGTAAGAGAAATAAAATCATGAGAAAATTCCATGAAAAATTCATTAATTACATGAAATTGCTCCTTATATGAATCGTATAAATTTTCTTTTGTACGTTCTAATTTATACCACACCAAAAAATGTGCTCTTTTTACAACAATACATTATTGTGGTTGTAAATTTTTTTTGAAGTATACATTAAAAATAATTACAGTGCCATGGACATTTCCTCAAAAGCTGTTGTACCAAAAATATAAAAATAAAATTAAGGCTTTCAAAAATGCAAAGCTTTTCTCATGAAAAAAAAGTTTCTTGTTCCAAAGCTTTTTATTATTATTATATTTCGACTTTTCGTATAGATTATATCAACATCAACCTTTGTTTGATCCCAAAGTTTAACCTTTACGTACTTACTTACTTACCATGATGGTCGATAAAATAAAAAAAAATTCCATTATTTTTTTTCCCTCCATCCTTCTTGAATGAAATGAAATCTACGCATATATACGACGTACACACAATGAATAAAGGGACACAAAAATTTTAATAACAATGCCAAGAAGAGTGAGCCTTTTTGCAGTCATTTAAAATGACATTATGACATTTGGGACATACAAATGTAATAAACACAAAATGTGACATGAACACGGCATGAGAATAGCAGACGGCAAAACGAAGAATAAGAAAATAATTTTAATTAATATGAAATTCTGATGGATTATAGCTCAAGTTGATTACCATAGCCAAAAAGATGCATTTGCTTGAGCCGAACTTTATAAGAATTTTAATTAATATAATTGAGAATTTGTCGTAAAATGTATTACATAATTGTTTGTTAAAGGCACACGAGGGTATGAAAATAACATGCTTGTCTACCAGCAAGCTTTATGAGTCAAAATTTCTTTTTACCATGTTAATGTCAGTCACTTACACAATTTTTTTTTCTGGCATCGTAATTTTTTGCGGTTCTTTTTGCATCGAGCAGCAATCAAATAATGGATACCTTCTTGTAAACTTGTTTATGCTGTTGAAGGGCCGTTAGGAGAATTTTTGTAAACATTATTTTGGTTTCTTCTTTTTTTCCTCAAAATTACAATGGATCTGATTGGATCTTTGAAAAAGACATTTGCATCTAAGAAAGATCTTGAGAGTTCGTCTAGTTCAAGTTTAATGAAGGACCAGTCTTGATAAAATTCACTGTAGTTCTATTATGCATTGGTAAGTCTTTGTTTGAGGTTCTAAACTGTCCTTAAAGATAGACAGACTGAGTTATCACTTAAAACTATACTGATCTAGGTCATGGCTTGTCTAGAAATGAGCTTGAACTAGACTGACCCACAAGATCTTCCTTAGATATGCCCCTTTTCAAGTTTCAATCTGGTTTATTACAAATTTGGCAATTTCTTCACTCTTTCTCTATTAGAGGTCAAGCATAGACTAGCCTAGGTCATTTTGATGCTAATTATTAAGTCTATAACATCTATTTAACATCTCTGTTCAAATAACGTCCAACATTACCTAAACTTTGGAATTCTCATTCGAAGAATTCAGTTAGAATCATCCATAGCATTTGTAAACAATTTCCGTTACAAATATCCTGAATCATAAAACATGCAATCGAATTTACTACGTTAAGAAAATTTGTTTATTACAAACATTGATCATCATAGATAAACTATCATTCAATCTATTAATCCAGTTTCTTTTATTTTCTCTCTTTTCTCATTCATCTCTCAACATGATATAATCTTATATAGAAACAAGGACCAAGAATGAAATGTTCAGCATGCAAAATAATTGCTCATGCAAGTTGCATATCGGTATTAATGGAAAGATCTCAATTGGCATGCAAGCCAACGTTTCGTGATGTAGGTGTTCGTCAATATCGTGAGCAAACGAGAACACATCACCACTGGATTCATCGGCGAACGGAGAAAGGAAAATGTCGTCAATGTGGAAAGGTCAGTAAGCAATTAGCAGATAGTAAATGCTTTTAATTGAATGAATGAAAATAATACAGTTTAAAATAAAGAGAAAAAGAAGAGAAATATATATAAAATATTAATAAAAGAGTCAGAGACAGAGGAGAGGAAAGTGTATAATCTCATTTACATTCTTATCAATTCAATTGCGATGCAGAAATGATTTTTATGTCGAGCTTCGGATGTTAAAAAATTCAATTCAGTAGCTATATATTTGATTGTATCCAAAGAGAGAGAATGCAAGCTAATGTATGAATATTCATGAGTTTTAATTAAATTGTAATTCAATGTTTTGTGCAACGGTAGTTTGTTACAAATGAGAACGAACGATTCTGATAGGAATAGTGGCTTATTCATTTCCTTTTGTGTTACATTGCTGTATAGAAAATACAATTAAAAAATGACTAATTTGCATAGCAAAAAAAAAAGTTGAATAAGAAGAAAATACTACAGTAATTAAAAAGAATAATAATTTGGCTTCACGAAAAAAAGAAAACTTTTTACATTCACTTCCGCCATTCTTCCACATCGCAGATTATTAATATGAATATCTAGAAAATGACAAAGAAGGAGCATAAGTCAAAAGAAAAATTATATTATAAGAAACGACAACAACGACAACAATGATGATGATGATGTTCATCTTTACATAAACACGTAGGAAAAGAAAGAAAGAAAGAAAAGGTTTCACACAACTCATTTCCTTCTTTTTTCCCCATTCATTCTTTATATCCCCGACTATATGAAGAAGACAAACGAGGAACTTTCGAGGATTATGTAAATTTCTCGTCATTTTTGAGTGTTTCTTTCTCTCTCTTTCTGTATTTCCCTGAAAATATTTGAATTACTCGCTGCTAGAGGTTCCAAGTCATAATACACGGCGAATTGTGGTATGAGAAAATTAATAATTTATAATAAGCTCCTCAACATGAGTCATTTTCGTCAGCGGATATGTACATGATAATTACAGTACAGTGATAATGAATTTCAATCAGTCTCACATTGACTCTAAGTACAAAGTCATGTTAATACCCGACTTTTTGCATTTTTTATGAACTCTCTTATGGAACATGAGTGATTGTCCATTTCTATTTCTTCCACGCGACAGTCTACCTGTCAGATATGCTGTTATGGTGAGAAGTCATGCATTTTCACGTAATACTGCTGTCGGGGGTTTTAAAGATAATAAACTTAATCCGACTGTCAGTTTAAAGGAGATGTAGCTAGAAATGAACGAGACTAATCTCTCAATTTGGGCTACGAATTAATTCGCTACATATTTTTAATCTTGAGGGGGGCTAGACCCCTGTTGATCCCCCCAATCCACTCCCAGTAAATGCATGACTAGTTTTAATCATGTTCTAGTCGTGGATTTAAGTTATGACTGTACATGTCTTAAAGGAATCGACAGACTTTAACGAATGAGATTAAACCGTATTTTCTGCAGTCTTTGCTATAATCTAGGTGAAGAAGCTATGTCTGTAATAAAATTATGTCAAAGTCAGGAAAAAAAATTCAATTTTTTCGATCATTTTTAAAGAAGAAAAGCACAATGACGCATAAAGAATATTAAAACTTTCCCAATATGTTACTTATGTACCAATATAGCATATTTTTCTGTCATAAAACACATTAAGTTTATTTTTTTCATTCTTTATATTTTATTGTATGATAAAATAATGAAGATAGAATGAAATGAACGAACGAAAAAAATATATGAAATATTGATAATTTCATTTAAGGATGCATTAAAGTTGAAAAAAAAAACAATTTCGTTGATGAGATAAAAAAAATAAAATAAGAAAAGTTCTTTACCCTCTTACTCGTATAAAAAATTAATATAATATAAGATATATATTTAGACTGACACATGCAGAAGCTTTATTAGAAAGTAAAAAAATTATTCACGAATATTCCCTTCTTTTTTTTGTGTTTTTGTTTTTTTTCTTTCACTAACGTCATGTTTCTTCGTTTATAAATTATGTATGATAAATATTATATATATATCTGTATGTATGAAACACTTGAGCAGTTTGAAAAGAAGCTTTCGTATCTTAAGGTAAAGTCAATATTTAGATTCTCTTACTTTCGATTATAAAATAATGAAAAACAAAAAATAAAAAAAAAATGAACAACAAAAAGCTTTTCTTCTAAATCTGAATAAGTTAATTTGTTTTGCATACTCCTTATTTTTCCTTCTCTTTCTCCTTCACATGATTTTCATTCTTATTTCTTCTTTATGAAGCACACACTTCATCATATATTTCATTCTGCATCCTACGTATTTTTACTTCTTTACACTCATTTTTCCTTGCTTTTAGGGATTGTCGCAAATTAAACATTCATTCAATCAACAAAAGTCTCTTGCAATTCTATTTATGGTAGTTTTTGATGATGCATCGTTCTTATGACATTTTATGATTAATTTAGTTCAATTTGACTTGATTCAATTTGGTTTGATTTTTAGGCTGAGTTCTTTTTTATTTGAATTATCATTTTTGATTCTTGAATGATGTTGAGTAGCTTTTCATACCTTTTAATCATCCTTTAAGGGTCATCTCTAAGTTTTATCATGTTGCATCGGATCGATTTGATCCATCTTTAACCTTTAGATTAGCCTAAGTCAAGTTCTAGTTCTAATTTTGAACATACTTCTAAATCTGTTTATTTGGAGGACGAGTCAAGCTGACCTCAATTGAATGTATCTTTTAAAACTGATAGTTGACTGTCAGCTATGACAGATTGGCACTTAAATCTTGTATTCAGTATTAAAAAGTCACAATATTCTTAAAAATTCAAAGCAGATCATGTGAACTTATGTGAATTTCCTTTGAAATGCAAGAATTCTCTTGTAAACTTTGTATAGTTTGAAACTGCTTCAAAAATTTCTTGTTTCAACCTTGTTATACATCCCGAATGGCACAAGTCGTTTAATCGATCAGAAATCCAGCACCAAGCCGATATGACTCTGGCTGGGTGCTTGGTTTAAATCGAAGCCATTATTTGATTTTTTTTACAACTTAAAGAATTTTTAAAAAGCACAATTCAATAAAATTCATTAAAAAGCTTCCTGGAAGCACTCAATTTGAACTTCCAGAAAAGTCAACGAAAATTTACTTTCCAAATGATCCTATAAAATCAAGGATACACAAAGATATTCAGAAATCTATCAAATATTCATTCTACACTTATCACAAAATATTCGTCCCTTAAAAAAATTCGAAAACATTAAAAATATTTTAATGAAAAATTCATAAGATTCATAAAGCCTCTCTGAAGGGAACCTGCTGTTATTGACATTCTGTTATGAATGACTTCACATTTTTTTATGCGCATTTTTTCCTCATTAATTCGTTTCTGATTATAAGTTTATTGCCATGTCCTTTAATGCACGATTTTCTAGCGAATTATTAATCTCATTCTTAGGAAAAAAATTTACCAGCATGACGTTGATATTTCTCTATTCATGATTTTCTTCATTTTGTTTTGTTGATGATTGATTTTATTTTTTGATATGATTTTTTTGCTTGCTGAATTTTTCAAGTTCATTGCATAGGATTTTACTAGACATTTGGTGACAAATTGGCGTCATTGCTTACGTTTTATTGATTGCATTAAAATAGTTCTGAAATAAAAACAAAAATATGAAATTGAAATTCCTTTTTAAAGGATTCAAATTAGTTTCGTGACTGAATTTTGTACTTCATATCTTTTTATGTTTGCTCATGTTTCTATTACATTCTTATATTCTTCCTCTCTCTCAGTAAGTTAGCATACATATTTTTTTGCATTTTTTTTTATTCTATTTCATTATTCAAATTTCTTCTTCTTATTAAACAAATAATTTATATCTATTTCAAATGATATGAAAAAGTAAATTTAGTATGATGAGAAATGTTCGTTTTTTTTGGTATGTCGACCTTTTTTTTCGAAATTGAATGATGATAGTAATCTATCTACACATTACACATCAATATAAGTTACATATTTGCCTTTTATTCAAATTGACAAAGGCTGAATTTACTGTCCGCAATGTGTATATGAGTTTATATCAATGGGTCTGAATTCTTTTGGTTATTAGTCAACTGAGTATCATGGAACTAATATGATTTATTGCGATTTGAATGGAATTGACATAAAAGTGACCATATGATGACTAGAATTGATCATCAAATCAATAAACCTCGATACAAATGATTCCAACTTATACAGAGGTTATATAACAATTAGTTTCTATTGATCCATTGTGAATAAAAGGGTAAGAATACAGCAGTCAGTTTCAGTGTACAGGTTTCTTTGGTTCACTTCAGATTTGCGAAACAGGTCGCCTGTCAATAGGCAAAGATGAAAGATCTGTCACAGGTAGATTTTCTTTTTTCAGGCAATCACTTGTCACAGCTCTGTCATACCTGTCATTAGATGACAGGCAAGCGACAGATCGCAACTTGATTAATGTTGAATCTTCAACATAACTGACCTAAATTAATGTTGGAATACACCCTAGAATAGTGAATATCCTCCAATGGTGTGATCTGATCAAAATAATTAAACTGCATATCGTCCTTCTTTTATAGCATAAAAACAAAATTTACAGTAACCTTCAATCAAACTCGAGTTGTGATTTTAGGCTCCAGTTCTAGCTGGCATGTTCCTAAAGTACAAAAACTGTTAAAGCAACGCACAGCACAACTATTTATTTTGACAACAATTAAAAAAATAATTCATTCAATTTTGAATCTGATACGACCAAAAATAACCAAAACGTACGGATCCCTTGATTAATATCATAAAAACAAAACAGAACTATGATACTCATATTTTGTTTTTATGTCGACAGTAACAAAATATTTACATAAGTTCTCTGAAATGTGATTCGATTTCAATTTCGAAAAAAAAAATAAATAAATACACACAACAGAATTGTTGACGTACATCCTATCTCATCAAATTAATTAGTCAATATGTATCAATTTAAATTGTATATATCATTCTTTTTCCATCTCTTCAATTAGTCACTACAAGCGAAATTATCATTTAGTTCCAAAGAGATTGTTGCTTTATCATGTGCCTGGTGTAAATCGTCATATCATAATAAAGAGGCATGCTTTAACCCTCATCGAATAGGAGAGGAATGCACATTAGGTAAGAGTCTATGTTTATTTTTAACCACACAGCGATATTTATGTTGCATAAACTTTCAATACCAGGAAAAATTGTTTGATGCTCACTCTTTATGGGGGTAGTTACTGTGTGTAAAAAAAATCTATAAATTGAATATGCTCCATTATATAAATCAAGATTATATTCAATTTAGTATCTATATTTACTCGTACACGTCCATAACTTATGTATATTTAAACAAGTATCGTAAACAAGTCTACAGAGGTGGGAAGCCTTCGTGTTGCTTCCATAACACAGGACAATAAAATATTTTTTTAATTATGCAAATTTTATTTTCTCGCAGACTGTCTTAGTTGAATTAGTTTGCCTTCGCATCTTCAGGAATTATTTTAAATTAAATTGTTTTTCAACCTGCGACGGTATAGAGTTTGGGGGATTGTTAAGGTTTGATGTCTTTTATAGAGGCGTCCTTATAAGTGGCTCCTCAATTGGTGGAATATTTAGGTCCTTTTGGTACCAAATCCCTACTTAAAGATTATCTTGCTTCAGCCCTTATCATAAGCTATGGACTAAAACATTTTGTGTGCTTATTTCGCGACAAGACAATGTAAGGGAAGGGGGTGTAAAAACCTCAGGAACGTCACTTATAAGCTTTTCAACAACTTAAACTTATCAAGAGTCTCCCCCTTAACAAAGATTTTGTTTATCTTTTAATGATTTTATCCCACAAGTTTATTATTATCATGAATATTGTCATGGTTTTGGTATTCTGGAAAAATTCAAAACTTCTACGACGTAAAAAATTCATTTCAAGTTTATTATAGTATTATTGACCTTTACGAGTGAAAATCAGGTACTCTAGACATTAATAAATTGATATTTTGACCAAATGGGAGATGAATTCCCAAAACACAATCGGCCTGTTTCACTAAAGTGGATTATCCTCGATTTCGGATTATCCACTTCAGTTTTTTGGAAATATCGCCAGACGCTTAAGGTTATTAAGAGATCTAATGTGTGATCTAGCAAGAGTACTTTGCTACTTAAATCAACATATACTTAGAATTTTTATATCTTCACTAGTTTGAGAATTATAGCAAAAATTGAAGTTAACCTACTAGATTTGGCTAGGAAATTGAATAATTGATAGTTCTTAACGAAAAGTAAAAGTTTAAAGTATACAGAAATTTCAGGCATAGCTCACTCTATTATAATCCAAAATTAGAAATACCACACCTCCCATAAAGTTTAAGATATTTCCAAAAAACTGAAGTGGATAATCCGAAATCGAGGATAATCCACTTTAGTGAAACAGGCCGAATAAAATATTACTCAACCAGTATGAAATTACTCCTTTTTTATTATGATGCATATGGCGTAGTAAAGGAAATATTTCCAATTTATTACTCAGACGATCTATTATTCTCCAAAGATTCAGAAAACGACGATCCTTTCCATTTTACTGTCCCATAAAGCAAACGATATTAAAGCCATACTGTTTCCCTTCCATTAATCTAAATGACATGGCCATAATAACAACAACCTTTTTTTTCTGTGTCTCTCCTCATCAACATTTTTCTTTATGTTTAGGCATTCATTCACGTATAATTGTTCCTCCATCGTGGATAGTCAAACTGCCACGAAAAGGCAGTTTTAAATCATCATTAAGAAAAACACCAAGAAAGAAGCCAGCCGGCAAGAAGAAATCAAAGGAGAAGGAAGTGCGAACGTTTGTTATAAAGCCCATACCAACACCAAATATCACGCCTGTATTGGTCTTTATAAATCCAAAGAGTGGCGGTAATCAGGGTGCAAAATTACTCCAAAAATTTCAATGGCTTTTAAATCCACGTCAAGTTTTTGATTTAACACAAGGCGGACCAAAAATGGGGTATGTAATGAGATGCATCTTCTTATTTAATGTATGCTTTGGCATCTAGACAGTCATTTACTTCTTACTTCTCGTTCACAGCTTGGAGTTGTATCGAAAGGTGCCAAATTTGCGTATTTTGGCGTGTGGCGGTGATGGAACTGTAGGTTGGGTTCTCTCCATACTCGATCAAATTGGTATCTCACCACCGCCTGCTGTTGGTGTTTTACCACTCGGTACTGGAAATGATTTGGCAAGAGCACTTGGATGGGGTGGCGTAAGTTATTTTTATTCTTTCACTTTATGAAGGCACAGTCGTTGGAACTATTTAGTTCCAGCTATATATAGTCTTTTAAGAAAATTGTAAAAAATAATCGAAAAAGAAATCTTTCATCATCTTCCGCCTTGAAATCTAATAAGAAGAGAATTTCCTTTTTTTGAAAAAGAAAACCAATTTCTAATCTCACTCGAGCGAGAAAAACAAACTTAAATATATTGGATATGAAGAATTTGTGCTATGGGTGGATGACAAAGGAGAGAAAAAAATTGAATTTAAACATCAGAATAATTGGATATTTCCTTCCGTTGTTCACTCTTTCTATTTTTTTTTTTGTGCTATAATATACAGCATAGCAGTGTCTTGCAAACTTTTGTGGTCCATGGCTCACGAAATTGTTTATTGTTTGTAGTGAGAGAATTCAGGGAATTGAACCAATTGAAGATTTTAGTGTTTACACTAGAAATTGAATTTTTGATGTTCAAATTTTGGCGTGAAACTGTTAAAAACCGACCACCGACTATAGATTAATAAACTTTGCCTAGATCATTCCAAAATAAATCAAGAAATCAACTGCTGATGTTCCACAAACCAAAACTTCAGAACACACTGTAGTTGATAAAGAATATAAATAATGAATGCTCCACACCTGAGGCATCTAATCACGAGAAAATGCCTATGAGGATTTCAATTTATTTTTCATCTCCAAAAATATTTTTCTTTTTTATTTATCCTTTATTAAAACATCGTAAATTCTTTTGCTAGCCTTAAAATTGATTATCAATTGAATCAAGAAAATTTAAGAATATTAATTTTATACTCCATCAAGTTCAAGTTCAGAGTGACGCAAAATAATTTATTTGAATGACGCACTATAAATATGATCCAATTGGATTAATTTGATACTTTTAAGAATTTCTCGAAAGTTTTCCATTGATATAAATATGATTATTCATAACGAAAAGTTTAAAACTCTCTTATTGTTGCTGTCTTATGGGCTTTGATATGATACTCGTGCTTAAAACTTTGATAAGACAGTTTTGAAAAGTTTTTTATTAATTTCCTGACAGGAAGGATTAATTAAATGTCAAGATCAGGTAGTTTTGTCCTTACGACGAATTTTGAACTTTAAAGTTGTGTTGATTAATCAACGAATTTGTGATTTTAAAGGTTGAAAGGTTTACGAAGGATTCAGAAGATATAGAATTAGAAGATTAAACATTTAATTCACATTGAAATTATATTTTGAGGAAAGAATAATGAAAACACTTAAAAGTAATTTTGTAAGATCCGATTTAAGTATCAGAGTTTGAAGTCAACGCAGACTTTCCAAAAGTTTGTATTTTAAAGTCGATTAGAGTCGACTCTATTTTAAATTCAATTCATGTCGACTTCCAGCACTGAAAATTTCGTTTTATGAGAATTCACTTCGTCCATATTAAAATAAAAGATCCTAAATGAATACATTCAGGCCTTAACATCCATAAAACATGCAATAAAAAACAGACTAAATCAGATGATTTCGTCATTTTAAGCTTCCAACATCAATTGTTGAAAATTTAACATTAATGCTTCTCTTAAAAAAATCCTTTGGTATAAAATAAGATCAGCAATAAAAGATATAAATGATTGAGCTGAAAAATTCTCAATTCACTGAATGTAACAACTCAATTCATGAAAGTCTAAGTGCTATAAAGAATCTAATGCCTAAAATGTATAAAAATAACTTTAAAAAACACATTTCAAGTAAGCTAACGATAATTCAATCAAATCAAATCAAAATTGAAAGAATAACATGGAGAAAGTAAGCAGAAATCCATCAAATTGCAAAATCTAAAACTGAATCAGTGAAGGGAGGAAAGAAAAGCTTGTCTTCTTGTTAGGTCTAGTCAAATCTCAAGCTTCAAGTGTTTTACACATTCACAATAACGGAATAAAAAGTACGGAAAGAAAAGAGAATGTAATAAAGTGTGTAAAATAAGTTAAATCATCTGTAAGGAAAAATGTGAAGGTGGGAAAAAAATTTGGTTCATGGGAATATATTAAAATGCCATTATTGGAATTGAATGAAGATTTCTCATCGATAAAGAAATTTCACTTTTATTCATAAACATTTCTCATCGAACATCTGAATGTGAAGGGAGGATCAGCATCATGTAAATCTCTTCTATTTCACTCAACCAGTGTTGTTGATTGAAATGCGTAGGTTGAGATGAAACTTGGAGATTTTTGTAGGGGTAATAATATATTACTAAAGTCTAAAATCATCACTGAAGACCGTTTTTGAAGGGTATTATGACTGTTCTTTATTTAAATTTCGTCTAAAGTTGTCTCGAGTTTTAATGTGGTTGACTTTTACATGTGGAAATCGAACTATGTAAATCAACTTCCTAAAACACAAACCTTTGAATAGTGAAGAAACGAACTGACGAACTTTGAGTTAACGCATAAAACTTGAGCAGAGAATCTGACACACATTTTGTGTATTTTAGAAAGAAAGACAACTCAACAAAACTGTCTTCTTCAACAATAATCTTTTGACAGAATTTGACTTCCTTTAAATAAAGTATGTTAAAATTCTACGGAGGGGTAACAAAAAAAATAAAAATATGGAAACTACAAATACTTGATTCAATTTATTTTGATTTGATTGAATAACTGAATATAAATGGATTATGTATACGAGCCAGTAATCATGACGATGATGTTCATATTCATGAAAATGATGTATGCATTAGATTTGTTTTCACGGTTGAACGGAAAAAGCTCTCTGATTATATCCAGAAAGTTTCATATTGGATGACGTAGCTCGTTTGTTGCTTGTGATGAATTGGCAAGAAAAGTTTACGAATAAATTGATAAACAATGAAATTATGTCACAAATGATGATATTACTGAAAATAAAGAGACTAGTACATAACCCGGTCATGCATTACAATAGGATATTAAGCATTATTGTATCCTGATACGCATTAATGTCTTAGCACAGCAAAGCACATTTTCTTCTATGGCAAGGATGAATGAAAGATTAATGAACAACAAAATTATAATGAAATTGTAAACTTTTTTTTTTTTTTTTTTTTTAAATTAAACTTTTTATTTATTTACATTTAAATTTAAGTATGTACAAAGTTTCTATACATTTTGTTGCTTTTTGTTTTAAGGTTTCAGGCATTCAATTTGCCTTTTGTCTCTTAATTTTGATTTCATTTACGGATTTTACTTTCTTTTGTATTTCATTTGATTTATTCGGTGTTTTGAGATGCAAGACGACTGTTGAAGTTCGCTTGCAACTTTCCGACGTAGTCTTCGATGGACGGTATTTTCGCTTCTGTATGAAGATCGGTGATCCTTTCATATCTTGTTTTATTGAGAACAATTCTCAAGAATTTGTTTTGCAGTACTTGAAGTTTTTGAAGATGGGTTTTTGCCATGCTTCCAAACGCTGGACAACCATATGTGAATATTGGTCTGATGGCTAGCTTGTAGATGAGAAGTTTGTTTCGTACGTCGAGTTGTGAGTTCCTGCTGATGAGCGGATAGAGCTGTCTTAATGCGGTGTGAGCCCTATTGGTCACATACTCCACATGCGGCTTTAATGTCACTCTCTTGTCGATCACCATTCCCAGATATTTAGCTTCTGTTTCCCATTTGATGTTTTCGTTGAGAAATTTGATGTTATTTCCTGGTAGTTGCCTGGAGTGCCTGTTTGTGATGAATAAGGCTTGAGTCTTCTGTTTGTTGAGGTTGATCTTCCATTTGTTCATGTATTGTTGAACTTTTCTTCCTGTGTGCTGTAGATGTGTCACAATATCGGCCGAGTTCTCTGCAGAATGATACAGTGCTGTATCATCTGCGAAAAGACCGATGTTGTTGGTTGTCTCTCTTACAACATCATACGTGAAGATGTTGTAGAGAGTTGGTGAAAGCACTGCTCCTTGTGGCACTCCGAATTTGATTACCTTGATTTCTGAGAACTGACCTTTAATAAAAACTGCGAAAGATCTTTCACTGAGGAAAGATCTTACAGTTTTTATAAGTGGCAGTGGAAATCTCAGTTTGAGCATTTTGTACAAGAGTCCGTTATGCCAGACTCTGTCAAATGCTTTTTCTACATCCAGGAAGATCATGCCTGTTGACTTTTTGTTGTTTAAGTTTTCTTTTGCTGATTTGATCACTTTGATGAGCTGGTGAGATGTTGATCTTCCAGTCCGGAAGCCGCACTGCTGGTTTGGGATGATGTTGTTATCCTCAAGATGATCGTTGATTCTATTCAGTAATACTCTCTCCAGTATTTTGCTTATTGAGCTGAGTAGACTTATTGGCCTGTAGCTGCTTAGCTCATTTGCTGGTTTTCCAGGTTTTGGAATAGGAATCACTTTTGCATGTTTCCAAACTTTGGGGAAGTGGTTGAGTTTCAGACACGAATTGATGATGAATTTCAAGTATTCGAAACCTTTTTCAGGAAGATTTTACACGCTTTTATTTAACTCACTCTGTTATGGAGCGTCAAATCTTGTAATCGATTTTTCGATCACTTCTACTGCTCCAATCGAGCTCAAATTTTGTATACACACGTATTCCCGGTGACAATTCATTATTTTAACACCTTGGAACCACAAAAATGCTTAATTATAGTACAATTTAAGTAAAACTTTTTTATATGGGAAAAAAATCCAATGTCAATGATATAAAATTTTGATTTGTATTAAATATTATACTTGAAATGCTCAAAAGTCATTTATATGATTCATTATAGTTTAATTAATATTACTAATTATTAATTATACTATAAATTTGAGCAGCGAAAGATATTCGGGTAAGACAAAAAAATTGACAAGTAATTTTTTCATGAATATACGTAAGTGAAAATTTGAATTTTCAAAAAAACCGTTAAGCAAAAGTCCGTTACGAATTAATGCAAAATAACTATAAATATGAGATATTCGTTTAGCACGCATAAATTGAGCATATATTTATGCTGTTTTTAATGTTTTACATTATATCATAACACTTCACCAAAATTTAATTAAATTGACTTTTCTATTTATTAACGGCTTGACGTATTTTTGCATATCATATAAATGATATTCGTTGAATTTAAATTTGAAAATCCGTTATAAATACGTTACATATAGATGTGATTTGCATCTTTATGTTAAGAATCTACATGTTATGCAGTAGGAATGGTACGGATAAACACTAAATCTTTAATTGAAGTTAGGACATTTTTAAAAGAGTTTCATGTGTTTTCAGGTATGACTTAAATATTTTAAAACGAATGAAAATTTTTGATAGTCTTTACTAATAACCCGTTAAAAACTGGTAATTTATAAATGGTAATCAAAAAACTGCAACCTCCTTATTAAGTATGTTAAAGTCAGGGTTGTAATGAAACAAAAGCTCCAAATTTTGGAAGTTAAATTGATTTATAGATTTGATAAGACTAAAAAGTAGAAAATAAAATACTATAAAAAAACTTTTTTAAAAAAGCACGCTTTTATTTCCGATTACAGTGCACTAAAAAGGAGAAAATAATTTTTTTCTGAGAACTCAAATTTGATACAAAATTTTATGACTTAAAAATAAAAGCGTGGGGCGCTCTTGCATATTTCACTAAATCTTGAATTTGTGACAATTAAAAATAATCCATATATGTTTAAACAAGCATTAGGTTTGTGAATATATTATAGAAAATCTAGAGATGATTTAAATTGAACGCCCCACGCTTTTATTTTTAGTCATAAAATTTTGTATCAAATTTGAGTTCTCAGAAAAAAATTATTTTCTCCTTTTTAGTGCACTGTAATCGGAAATAAAAGCGTGCTTTTTTAAAAAAGTTTTTTTGATGAGTATGTTGTTGACTTCATCTAGTCCCGGAGCTTTTGGATTTTTCAGATTTCTTATGATGCTCACGATTTCGTTTACATCTGTTAGTTCTGGATTCTCATCATTGTCTTGTTCCAATGCTTCTTTGACTGTGTTGTTTACTTCCTGTGTATGTTGTGGATCGTTTTGTTCCAGAGGATTTTCGTGAGCTTCACGAAAATACTCGCTGAGTGCGCTGGCTTTTTCTTTGCTGGTGATGAACGTTTTACCCAGATTTGTCAATGGAGGCATTGTTTTTGAACCTTTTTTGCAAAATTTTGCTATTCTCCAAACTGTTTGGTTTGACGGTTGAATCTCTGAGAGACGCTTATTCCAGTTTTTGTTTTTGAGTTCTTTAATTTTCTCATTGATGACTCTCTGCAGATAATTCAATTCAGATTTGAGTTGATTATCTCTGCTTCTCTGCCATCTTCGACGAAGACTCCTTTTTGTGTTGATTAGATCTTTAATCTCCGGTGTGAGTTTAGTTGATTCGAACTTGATCTTTTTCATTTTTACACTTGAGTTCCTCGCTTCCATGATGAGTTCAGAGAGAATCTTAATGTGATTCTCGATCTCATCTGTTATATTGCAAGAATTTTCTCCAATGTTGTCTTCAATGCGGCGTGAAATTTGTGCTTTGAACTTTTTCCAGTTTGCGTTTTTGTAGTCATATCTGTAGACTGTATTTTCAGTTCTGTCGATTTTTGATGTTTTGATTTGGAAATACACAGCGCAGTGATCACTCATTGCCTCTGTGCATTGAAGTTCTGTTGTTTCGAGGTTGGAATTCGAGAGCATCAGGTCAATTGTTGACACTGATTTGTTTCGATCTTCTGGGTAGTACGTTGGCGAGTCAGGAAAGTAGATCATGAACTCTCCTGACATTTCCTGAAGAATATTTCCTGATTTATTTGCAACGTTGCAGTTCCATTCTCGATGTTTTGCATTGAAGTCTCCACAGATGTAGTAATTTCCTCTCAGATTTGTTATTTTGTTGATGTCATCTCTCAGATGTAGATCTATTTCCCCTCCTTTGCTCCCTCCTGGGAGATAGACTGAGAGGATGTGACAACTATCCGTGTCATTGATGAAGACTTTGATTCCAATGCATTCCATTAGTTTTGTGTTGTAGCTTGGTTGAAGCTGATGTTTTAGATTTCTTTTGACGATGATTGCAACACCACCCTTTGGTCTATCCACGCGATCCAATCGATGAATTACGTAGTCTGGATGCGAGTCAATTTTTGAGTTTGGTTTTAGGAATGTTTCTGAGATGCAAGCAACATCGACGTTTTGCTTGCTTAGGTAGTCGAGAAATGCTAACATTTTGTCAGTGAGGCCGTTAGCATTCCAGTAGAGGACGTTGATACTTTGTTGTCTACAATCCATTATTGTATGCGGTGTTTTTGGCACTTGAGCCGATTGCTTGGAGTATTTCGTCGATGAACTCTGGATTTTTGGCGATTAATTTGAGAAGCTCGCTGATAAGGTACTTGCACTTTGATTCCTCTATTTCTGAGATGTTTTTATCTCTTGTGCTGGTGCTTTGAGCTTGTTGATTAGTTGTTATGTTTCGATTCACTACCTCAACACTGAATGAAGGTTCTGGGAAGACTTCATTCGAGGTCTGACTTGTTGCACTGATGTCTTCTGAGTCCATAAGCTCAACATCTTGCTTTGGTTTTTGATGTTGATTGTTATTAATGCGCTCGTTTTGCTTTTTTCTTTGATTCTTTTTCCAATGTTTTCCTCTTTCTTTATTGTTTTGTTGGTTGTTCAAGTTATTTTTATTTCCCTGATTTGAGGGTTTGTGATTTGGAGGAGGATTTGTGTTCCTTGGTTTGTGGTTGACTGGAACTTGTTTTTGATGAACAGGCTTTTGTGTACCAGATGTTGATGGTTCCATATACTCCTTTCTCCATTGAGGTTTTGGTGCATGTTGGACGTTTCTGGTTGATCTCTCAGGACGATGCGGTGTTGGAGGATTGTTTCTCCGTTGTCCATATGAATAATGGCCTGCTGTTTTGTTTTGATTTTGGTTGTTTCCATTTTGTGATTTTGATTTCCATTTTTCAATTATTTCTTGTCTGGTTTTACAACCTGTGAAAATTGCTGTATGTTTTTCACCGCAGAAGAAACATTTGAGTTTTCCGAGTGGAACCTTGTTGGTCTCTTTCGATATGTACTGGCACGTTTTCGAGTCATGTTGCTCAGAGCATCTGAAGCAAACGGACGGTTTGTTACAACCGTTTTGTCCATGACCAAACTGCAGACATTTCGAACATTGAGATGGTCCAGCTTGTCTATTTTTATAGTCAGCCCATTTAATTTTGAAACTGCTGACAATTTTGATTTTTCTGAGGAATTCCAGGAAATTTCCACCTTGTTCTACATCTTTTTTGAAGTACACGAGGTAGTTCTGGTCGTCGTCTTGTTCGTGTCTTTTGTGTTTCATTGTCATTTTGACAATTTTTACTGGTGTGATTTTTACGGTTTGAAGTTCCTTCTCCAACTCACTGATTTCCATATCTGGGAGTCCATAGAGTACGTACTTCTTCAGTGGTTCTTGGCTGGAGTATGTGTGGAAGTGATGCTTTTTGTCTTTGAGTAGTTGGATGAATTTCTCGTAGTAATCCCAACTCTCCGTTGTTACCGTTTTTGTTCCTTGTTTGCCCTTTTTGGTCTCAATTAAGAAACTTCCAGGTTGATTGTTTATTTCATTCGTCAATCTCTTGATTTCACCAGCTCCTCCTGTGCTGATGACAATTGGAGGTGGTTTTGATTTTTGTTGAGATTTGTTGTTGTTGCTTTCCGTGTTTACGGAAATTGTCTTTTGTTGCTCTGATGTTTTGCTGTTTTCTCCCCAGTACGAAGAAGTTGTCGATCTTTTTTTCTCCTGTTCTGGTGAACCAAATAGATACGGTACTCCAGAAGACGAAGCTTTCTTCACTGGTGGGAGTACGAACAGTGGTTTGTTCCCATCTTTTGGTTTGCTTTCGTTTGCTACTCTTTTTAAAAGAGCGTTGGGAACTATCACTTCTCGAGGGCGTTTTTCTGCTTTACTTGCTTCATTGAGAAACTTCTTTATTGATATTTGTTTTTTTGGTTTGAGATTTGTCATCTCAATGTCGGCTGCTTGTGAAACATCTTCACTGAAAATGTCCTCAATATTGAGAATTGTCACTGAAGATGAATGTTGTTGTTGAGAACTATTAAGTCCATGCTGATTTTGAGAAAAATTTTCTTCGTTGTTGGTAGTTTTTGGTGATGCTACCATTTTGATGTTTTGAGAATCAAACTGAGATTTTGAAACTTTTTGCAAACAAAAAGCTTCTCAGGTAGTCTCTGTTTTGTTTCTTTTGAGATTTTTGAATAATTTGCGGAGCGATTTGTAAACACGTCTGTTCACGTTGAGATCTAGTTTGCAACTGTGTAAATTGTAAACATCTTGAGGCATTAATACTCCTCCGTGTGACCTCAAAATCCTCCTACATATAGACATTTGCATATACAACATAATCCTATTTAATTCTACATTACTTAATACATTTTTCAAATTCTTCTCCTTCACATTTCGTCTTAATACGTCTTCACTCTCACAATGTATCTTGTTTTTCTTAATACACAGGGCTATACAGATGAGCCTATAGGAAAAATCTTGTGTAATATTGGAAATTCTGATACTGTTCTGCTTGATCGTTGGAATCTTAATGTAACACCAAATACAAATGCTTCAGATTCAGCAGATGGAAAAGACACGCTTCCGTTGAGTGTTGTGAACAATTATTTTTCATTAGGTAAGTAGAAATGACAGGACGCAAGGTAGATACACTTGGGAGATGAGAAACTGATTTTATGTTGAGCTTTGAGGTTGGCCATGAGCTATTTAAGGGGTTGTTTGCTTATGAAGTTCAGCATTTATGAGAGTATGAGTACCTTTACTTTATTAAAGTCAAATTACATTTTAAGCAAATTTTAAGATCATTTTAAATCTTTTGACGATATGGTCAATCAAAGGATGCACTTTTCCAACAAAATTTCAACATGAACGACCCCAGTTAACCTTCCTTATGTGTTGTAACCTTGATAAATGACATGATATATTGCAATGCTGTGACTATTATTAAAACATTAACAAAACAATCATCATCATTTTCCTTTCCATCCAATTTTTTCAGGCGTTGATGCTCACATAGCTCTCGAGTTTCACGAAGCAAGAGGTAAATGTGAAAATTGCGTGATCAAAATTGCGGAAAATTCAATTACTGATAATCTTATATCTCTTTTCTTCTTCCACCTTTTTGTGTGTATGTAACTACGAAATCATTTTATGCCATTCACATGCTTTTGCTGCTCCGTCTTCTATCTTATCATTTGCAACAAACAAACATACATACATCCATACATATGCCATATGTGTTTCCATTCACATATAATACATTACTATAGAGGCCCATCCAGAAAAGTTCAATTCACGATTGCGAAATAAAATGTTTTATGGACAAGCAGGTATAATAGTCGAAACGAATGAATAAGTTTTCACATTTATCAATTTGCCCATGAGTCCATTAATAATAATTTTTCCCTAACTCAGGTGGAAAAGACTTATTGAAGCGAAAATGGAAAAATCTTGCTGAGTTGGTTACGTTAGAATGTGATGGAAAGGACATTACACCAAAACTGAAGGAATTGCGTGTTCATGCAATTGTTTTTCTAAACATCTCGAGTTATGGGGGTGGAACGCATCCGTGGAATAAATCAGGTGGACAATACGAGCCGTCAACGGATGATGGATTAATTGAAGTTCTCGGACTCACGACATACCAATTGGTGAGTTAATTAAACGGAAATAACATATTTTATCTTAATTAAGAACAATAATTTTAATTATCTTGTCAATCTATCTGAACAATAGCCACTTTTGCAAGCGGGCAGTCACGGAACATGTATTACGCAATGTCGTTCAGCTAAAATTGTAACATCGAAAACCATACCAATGCAAGTTGATGGTGAAGCATGCAAAGTGAAACCATCAATCATTGAAATGTCTCTGCTTAATAAGGCTGTGATGCTAGCGAAGAAGAAACCCGGACGAACGAATGTTTTGTGAGTATTAATCGAATTATCACGCAAAACTAATCTTTTTATCGTGTAATATCCTCTATTTATACGCAGACAAGCGACTTTAGAGCCGATGAGTATAAACATTTGTCGTATTAAAATGTCCGATTATGAGCAACACCATTATGATAAGGAAACATTAAAGCAAAGTGCAGCAATAATAGGTGCAATAGATGTGAATCCAACATCCGATCTCGAAGCTGTTCGTGTGCTAGTGAATAAAATGAGTGAAGAGGGTAATGATAGTCCCAAACTGTCTCCAGACTGGTGTTTTATTGATTGTAAGTGCAAATTATGAATGCTTAATAGAGCAATTTCCTCTATTTAATTTTCCTTTTTAATTGCCATCAACAGCATGTACGGCAGAGCGCTGTTTCCGTGTTGATAGAGCACAGGAAAATTTACATTACGTTACTGATATTGCTACAGATGTGATTTATGTGTTGGATCAAGAGAGTCCAACGTTACCGCAAACTCCCGAAAACGAGAATGCAACCAGTCTTATTAATCCAATAATCTCAAGTATTGAATCGAGCGATAAGGATTCACATGATGGCACGCCAATATCACCGAGTAAAAAGTTCTTTAATCGATCTCTGAGTTCAGGACCAAATTCAGGCGGTACATCATCGTCAAGAAAGAGTTCACAGGGATCACAAGGATCAAATGGAAGCGCTAGAAGCTCACTGAATGCATCAAAAGAGGATATGGATAATGCTGGTAATGGAGATTCAACAAACTATAAATCGTAAGTCATGGTTTACTTATCTATCCATTACATACATTTATGCACGTCTCACAATATGTATATTATGGTTACGCTTCCATTACGTTACTATCTATATTCACTGAATTTTACATTCTTTCTTGTTATTATTACAAAAAAAAAACTATTGTTATTGTGTCTGCATGCCTGGACAGTTTTCATAATCGATTGTTTGGCCTTAATAATGAAGATGCATTTGGATTCAGGTATCTAATTAATCACATGTTCATCACTGTGTGTTTATATATAGTTGTTGTGCATGACAAGTCTCTTTACTAATTGGTAGTGCTTGATTTATTACATAAATTTCATGGAAATGTAATTGAATCGGTTTTGTAGTGACAAGAGATAAAAATAAATTTATATTTTTAAAATACCTGCATGACTTTATGGAATTGCATCATCATTTATGCAGTTAATAAAATTGTTGCTCAACGTCATATGGGATTCTACCAATATTAAAATAGCTTTTCTTCGTGCAAAATTGTTATTTAAATAAAACATGTCAGATGCATTTTACTCAAAAACCAGTGATATGAGTAGGATGCTTTTATGCAAACAGTTTTGATTGTAGTTTAAATACTTGTTTTTATGGATGACACGCGGCAAATGAAGGGCTTATAGATTAACAAATAATACATATTTATACTAAAGCATGTTTATAAGGGTTGTACTAGTGACTAGTTCAGGTCGTAAGGGGCTTCATAGAAACCTAATTTTTTAAAAGGATGTCTTTTAAGTCGTCGTAATTTAAAAACTGTCGTACACAGAATTGTCAATTTACTTAAACCCAGGAAATAAATCAAAATGGAAGCCCACTTAATTAAATTTTCTGTTTTTCATTACCATATGCAATACTTCCTGTGCCACATTTTTTATTTTTGCAATAAATGGACTTTCTCTATAATTGAAACATAAATTTTTGATTACCATTGCATTTGACTACCTTAATTCGCATGTGAAATTGATTTTTATTCCCTTCCCTTTATCAACTACGAATAATTGCAATTTGCAATTAATTTTACATTTCATTGATTCATATTCACCCCCACGTAATATGCATTTGTTCCATCTATCTTTTGTATCTGTCGACATATCGAGGGAAAAAAAGTGAGTTTTGTTTTTACAACGAACAATAATTTGCACCTGGAACGGAAAATGCTTTTAGTGGATTTTATGTAAAAACTGCAGTTTATATGCCTGCGAGCTACAACGGATCTGTTATTCCATCTACAGTAATTGCATGCCTGACTATTCATGCGAATTTATCAGTTTACCATTGTCACAACCTGCATGTGACATAAAATCAGGAAAAATGGGGGAATTAATTTTTAATAAACATATTGTACGTTGTCCAGTACGATACGCATAATAATGGATATCCATTAATTCCCCAAAAGGATTTTTCATTTTAATTAAATTAAAAATATTGATTTGGATATTTTGTGATAAAGTGGTTGACAGAAATTAGTGCGAACAAATATTAATCCAGGGATAAACACGTATCGTATGTAAATTGAACAATATAGTAGCTATATTCAGGAGTGTAGTCAGATGTGGTATTTTTCCAATAGGGGTGGGGATGTCCAGTTTTTAGCGCATTTTTGTATACTTGTATACAAAAAGGGAGCTTAATAATGCGAAATGTTCGTTCGTACGGCTGCTCGTTTGTCTGAAGAAAAACTTTTTATGCAGACATCGTAGAGAGCTCAGGTTTGTTTTATTAGCTCCGTTACTATTGTTTATTGTCCGATCGAACAGTTAAAAGTCTTAAAACAGTGTATTTATACTATAATTAATGATTTTTTTATTTCATAAACAAAACCACGTGATAAGTACGTTTAAAAAATTCGAGTGCCTATTAAAATAACGAATTTTAAAATTTCGAAACTTCATTTTTACGAACTCACATTTTTACGACCATATCATTTTTACGAAAAATTATTTTTTCGACTTTTTTATAAATTTTAAATTCTAAAATATCGTTAATTTCATCACGTGCTCTCTTTAATAATAAATCGCAGAAAAAAAGATTAATAGAACAAATTTTTTTAAATGTATAGAATTAAAACGTATTTTTTATTCAATATCACATTTTATGGACTACATGTGTATGTTTAAAGGAGTAACAAACACAATTAAGCTCTTAAATCATTTTTGACTCCTGCAATAGCCTTTAATGTTTCAACTCGTGGCACGGATTTTCGACGGTTCAGGATTGATTTAATGGAATACTCTGTCTTTTCAAAACCTGGCATTCTATGCTTTTGTGGCTTTCCAGCCAAACATTTGTCAATATCCATTTCGATAGACACAAATTCTTTCCTTTAAACATACACATGGAAAACAACAAATGTGATATTGAAAAAAAAATACGTTTTAATTCCATACATTTAGAAACATTTGTTCTATTAATCTTATTTTTGCAGATTTATTATTGAAAAGAACACGTGATGAAATTAACGACATTTCAGAATTTGAATTTTATAAAAAAAGTCGAAAAAATAATTTTTCGTAAAAATGATATGGTCGTAAAAATGAAGTGTTCGTAAAAATGAAGTTTCGAAATTTTAAAATTCGTTATTTTAATAGGCACTCAAAAAATTCAACATTACCTCTATAATTTCAAATTTTTTCTAGCCGTTTTAAAATTTGAATTTCAAAAAACCGTTAAATGATAAACTTTTATACACGAGGATTTTTGTAATTTTTTTAAAAATACATTTAAAACTTCAATCTCTAATAAAAAGAGTTTTAGACCTTTTGCACCCCTGACAACCGAAATATCAATAAATATTTACATCTGTGACTTTATCATGTGGGTGATAAAGTAAATAAAATAAAACAAATGAATATAATCATGATAATAATCGTTCATGTCATTTAACACGAAAATATCGTGGAATATAGCAAGAAGCAATGCCTTTAAGCGTACGCAATTCATTCGCTATCTGTCACTGTAAATGAAATTTATATGCTGAGTTTCTTCTGCACTTCTCGCTATCACTTTAATATGCACTCATGAGCAAATGTAACGTATGAAAATCGATTTTTCACTCCAGTGATTTTTCCGAGAAAGCATTTAAAGAGCTTTAAGCATTGATGTACGCCAGATGTCTCATTCAATATTTATATATAAAAGGAGAGAGCTGCTTGAGTGTAACAGATCCATCCTTTTGTTATCTTGTCGCTATTTCAACATTACTTTTGTATTCTCATCAGATTTCACTTTTTGTCTATACCTTTTTACAAAACTGGGTCTTTTCACGTATGGCTGTCTGTCAAATGAACTAATTTTGTATAATTCCTTCTCATCTGTGCTGTATTGTGATTTTTAGCATGTCAAATCAACTCATTCCATATCTAGAACAATACCTTGAGCTAAAATTTTACATTTATTGGTTTTTTAGAACAATTTTGAAATTTCTGCCGTTCTCTGCAATTGCAAAAGATTGGTAGACATTGACACGTACAACATAAACTGTTCGATGAGGGCTCATACACATTCACTATACAATGCTTTACACAACAATCAGTCAATCAAATTTTGAATTTTTTTGAGGGTATTATAGCACAATATTATGAGTACAACCATCACGATCTAAACAATAATTTCTACAAAGAATGCGCTGTCGAATTTCATCACGAACAAATTTTTCATACACAATTTTTTCATACTGCTTGTTTGCCGTCAAGAAGTACGAAAAATGGTTTTTCATGTATTTTATGTTTCCGTCGAATCTCATTCACTGCTTTTTGCCATTGCTGATTCAATTACTTTAATATTATTGAGGTTTGTGTGACCATAAGTGTAGACATTTAAAGCCACTGAAGCAATATAAGTAGAACGCTCAGTGTGAATGATACTCTAGCTTTTATATGTACAGAATTATTCTTTCGAATTGCATGAACCTTCACTAACAGGCTCGTACATAATAATATACATTTATGCCTCATATGCATTAAGATTATCATTAGAAAAATTGTATATAATCTTTACTTTTTTGTGTCGGGGGGAAATATGCTTTGATGGAAGTTTGTGGAAAGGATGAAGATTTTATCAAGATGCCAGATTAGTCTAGACCAAAATACATTGTCGCAAATCTGTATAGCTTAGATTTTGTCTGATATAGATTATTAACTTTAGTAGAGATTGAGCATTTAGTCTTTGATAGGAATCAGAACTCATATTTGTCTCATAAGCAATCGATTTCACTGTCATGTGGTCATTAGTCTACTAAGGCATAATTGTTGAATTCTTATGATTATGTGCAGAACTTCTAATTAAAACCGGTGTCTATTGCTAAGTAGAGTATCGCTAGTCAACCTAGAAACCTGCTTCAGATTATTTTCAATTGTTGTCCAAACAAAAAGGCATAGCTTAAAATAATTGAACCAGGTTCTATTCCAAATATGTCCCTCCCTCTCTTCATAGCTTCTTTCATAATCAAACTGAACCTTACTCCATAAAACAAAACCTATAAATCTACTTTTTAAACTTCCATCAAAGCACATTTTCCCCTTTAATGTGTAGCTATAGCATACCTTCACTGTAGACATGAACGGACATAAATTCTAAAGTTGATTAATGTTGATTTCTATCCTCTTTATTTTCCTTCCTTTTTTCCTCACATTGTATGAATTACACAGTACATTGTTAGAGAAGACGACTGATGCGGTGATAAAGGCATCTAAAAATGGAGATCTAGCAATGGTAATATGCCCTAAATCTGTTGACAATATGAGATATATAATAAAAACTTATCAACTATCCTTTCTATTATCTCTACAATTTCTCATCGGGCGTACTAAATTGAAATTATAGATGAAAGAGCTTCATCTGCAAGGATATTCATTATTATCGATTGATACAATGGGTAATACAGCACTTCATCATGCTAGTAGGTACGGACATAAGGATATTGTAAGATTCCTCATCGCGTATGCACCTGAGTCAATTATTAATATGATTGATAACGAGAAAGGTCAAACAGCGCTCCATAAAGCAGCTGTGATGAAGCGACGAAGTATAAGTTACATGCTGGTTGCTGCCGGATCGAATTTAATGCTTCAGGATTGTGCTGGAAAAACACCAAAAATATTGGCACTTGAATCCGATGATCATGAATTGGCTGCTTATCTTGAGAGTAAGTCAATTAATTTTCTCTCGCTTACTTGACTTTTTTCCTTTCATGAGATTGTGCCCGAAAGGTTTGGGGGAGTTCATAAATGATGTTTAGCATTATTGAAGCATCTGAATATATAAGACAGAATTCTCTCAATTTTATATAGTCGTTATTTATGAACGACTCCTTTATAAGAATCTCTTATTTCCTCCTGTTATTTAATCTATTATTCTCATCCTTCTCCATCATACAGGTCAAGAGCAATTTCATTGTGCGGTTTGAAGTAAACACATCGTTTGAGATCGGTAACAGACTGCTTCTGCTACTGATACTTAGCTTTTTTTCATCCCATTCCATTATTATTATCATCATTATGCTACACCAACGAACACCAACATCGTTTCAACATTCTTTACATTCTTATGAGGAACTTTTTTTGCCGAGGCTTGTAGAGAAGAAAATAAAATCAATAATTTTCCAATAAAAGCTACCAAGCAATTGAATTATTTCGTTCAAACTAAAAGTGAGTAATGTGAAATGATAACACAGTGTGAGATGATTCAATAAGGATATAAAAGAAAAAGTTCAGAGACATATCAAACATTCCAAACATGAATAATTTTTGTTATTTGGAGTGAAATGTTTTTTGCTTAATGGCTTTTTTCTTTCTTCAATTTTATTTCTTCTTTAACATTAATGACGACTTAAAGTAATAATGATAATGTGAGAAACTTTTTAAGAACTACTTTTTTTTGCCCATCATTCGGACGATTCGTGAAGACATCCGCTGCTGAATAAAAAACCATTAACGATAGTGAAATAAATTCATTGTAAGAAAATTAAAAATAATGTACAAAGTTTAAAGATTTTCTTTTTTTGAAGCTAAAGATTTCAAATTCAGCAAAAAAATTGTGAATTTAAAAAAAGGTGTCGATGCAAAATGTATCATTTAACATAAATACAATAGTGTTGATGAGCTTCGAGATGTTAGGAACTGGAAATAGAATCATGAGATATTTTTAAAATTCTTTGGAATATTTGTTCAGAAAATTGGAATCTATTCCTTGGATAAATATATCTTTACATCCACATAGATCTCGGAATTAATGATTTCTCATGAAAAAAATGGAATGCTGATTGTATCATCTGGAGTTGGTGGTTTTGATGAATATTAACAATTTTACATTCGTTTTGAATTTCCATGGTTTTAAGATCTAATTATATCTCTTAGATTAAATCCTTAAAAATGTCAAATGTCTTAATAATCATTTGAATAAGACATTCGACTTAACAGAACATTCAAAGATGTTAAAGCGAATATAAATAATTTAATAAAATTTGGGAATATAATCTCGTATTTTTGGTAATCCATTTTGCTAAGCTTATATAAAGGAAAAGAAAGCTTGGATTTATAAGGAAAATCTTAAAAAATTGATAGCTTAAAAAGGTCTTGTAAGATTATTGAAAAATTTGCTCATCTGTAAGCTTAATTCTGCTGAGGTGGAATTCAAGGTTGTTGAATGAAATTTCGTAGAATTCAAGAGAGTTTGAATCTCATTTTAAGGATTCATTTTCAAAACTTACTTAAAAGTTTTCAGAATTTTAGGTTCACATTATTTTAGAGAATTGAATCGTCAAGACTAAGTTTAAACCGAGTTCTTTAAAAATTTATGGATTAAGATCAATTCGTAAAAAGTTTAAACAATGAATTTTCAACAGTTTTGAGAAATAAAAACTTAATTCTATTGAAATTGTCATATAGACTTTATAGCGTATTAGCATGCTTTAAGCTAACCTAAACCTAAGATAATTCTAGAACTGAGCTAAACCTTAATATTGACTTATTAAGAATCTAAGTTCAAGTTCAAACATTACAAAGCTTTTATCTATCAAGATCTAAAAAGAACAATTCATTCTCAAAATTGGCAATCTGAAAACCATCATTAACCTTCAAAAACCCACCAACTCTAGACAAAAAACATAAACTTTTAACTGTGTAACATCAATTTGACCCAATGCCAACGAGAAAATGGCTTCTTTTATTCATGTTACATGAAGATAACAAAAAGAGTGAGTTCAAATAAGTATGAAAAATATTTAATAGACTTAACATTAAAATCATTATTATGGAAAAAGTTTATTCTCAAGAAGCGAAAAGAAAAGTGAAAAAAAAAATCTTTTTAAACTGAACAGAAGAAGATTCAATGAGCGTAAAAAGCAGAGTGAAAAAGAAGAAATGAAAAAAAAAGTTTGTAATTTTTATTACGATCATTGCCAATCAACAAGTAGAAAATTTTTTTCTTCGCTGTATATAAAGTAATAATAAAAATAACAAAAAATAATATTATCAGAATTTAAAGTTTGTAAAATAATAAAAAATTTATTCACATCGTTAAATTCATTAAAAAATACTCTCTATGTAATGAGAATCTTCCTTAAAAACTCTTTTTGGTGAATTCAAATATAGAAAAATTAAATTAAAAAAAAATTGGAAAATTAAAGAGAAAATTTAATTAATTCATTCACAAACAACACTACACACCACTGACATATGTATGAACGTGAGCGGCATCTAAAATATTTTTGAAATATATTTTTTTACCAATTAACAGAGAGAGAAAAAAAAATTTAAAAAATAATGAAAAAAAAATGTGGAAAAAATTTGTATTTATAAAAAAACACTCAAAGTCAATTACTAAATTTAAAAAAAACATAATAATGAATGAAGTAGTTTAAAAATGAAAAATGATTTAGCCCTTTTTAAGAGATTAAAGCAGATTTTTTAATAAAACATAATTAATTAAGATGATTAAAAAAATGATGAATTAAGAAGCAATTTCCTAAAATGTGAATTTTTTTCCAAAATGTCACGTATTTCACTTTTTAAATGTAATTTTTCCATTTCTTTATTAAATGACAAAAAAATGAATTAATTGTTTATTATAAAGCGTTAAATACTTTAAAAAATTGTGTAAATATAGAATTTCAAATTAAATTCAGAACAAAAAATAAGAAAAAATATTTTTCTTCTTCCTTTTTAAATCATTATTGTTCTCATATCGGCAGTTTCCATTGTACCGATGAATGAAAAAATAACAAATAAAAAAAAATTGTAAGCTAAATTATAATAAAAACACGAGAAATGCACCCTCTCACGATTCTTATTACATGTAAAAATATAAATATTATATAGAATACCTAAATACATAGGTAGGAAAACCTTCTCAAAACAAATACTTTTATGAAAATTTTTCTTTTTATGCTTTTGAAAGGAAAGTTGAAAAAGTAGATGGAAAAAATTGATTTTTAGAGCGCATTTCCTTCAAATTTGAAGTTGACAAAAAAGTTCACTTTAACCGCTACAAAATTATTAACGATAGGATTCGAACCTTTGACTGAATGAATTTTTCGTTCAATTTTATTTTTTTTTTTTGATTAATAATATGATTTCAAATTTGGCTTAAATGTCAATCTTAAGCATCATTTAATAAATAATAAGAAATAATATATTCACAAAAATTGAAAATTTGTGTGAATATGATATTGCTAATTTTCGAAAGATTTTTATAAGAATCCTATTTAAATTACCCAAACACAATCCAAATATCAAAAAATTCAATTTCCAACCTAAAACTACCCAAAATATTTTAATTAAAACTTATTTTCCCTTAATTAAAGTCCCAAAAACTAGAATAGATTCATATTGATATAACCACAAATGTTCATTAACTATCAAATTACATACAAACAAAAGATCCCAAAACTTAAAATCTTTCTTCTAATTTATTTGGAGAAAATGTGCTAAAAATAATCAGAAATGTTTTTCTATTTGCTTAAAGCATAAGTTTTCAATGTTCCATTCTCCTTATTTCCCTTTTTCGTGATTACGTAATTGTTAAGTAAAAAAGACAAAAAGTTGTACTTATTCACAATTTAAGGTCAAAATCTTTTCATTTCTGTTCTTTTAAAAAAATCATTTAATTGAGTGTTTTTCAAATCTTTTCATTTTAAGAGGAAATCAAATTCACGGAAATTTAATTAAATGATCATTCTCGAATAAGCATTTCGACTTTGACCACGACGATGGAAGAAAGAAGTTTTTTGATAAATTAAAGAAATATTTAAAATTATAAATGAATTTCTAATGGCATTTTTTTGGTAAATGACCATCTTAAAAAATTTCTTTACTTTCTTCATTTTCAATTTGTTTCCTTTCTTCATTTCACTGAGGGTGACATTAGTATAATGAAAAATTTTTTTGAATATGTTTGTTTTTTTTCAACTAAAAAATGAATGAAAGAATAGAAAAGATTATTTTTCATTGTGATATTTCGATGTAAAGCCTTCGTGCCTCTAGACTTTACATCTGAAAATGTGTGTCACATTCATTGAAGATTTTTTTTTTGTCTGTAGAGCATGACACTTTGAATATTTCATAATATGTGAAGTTTAAAGTGTTATTTTTATGTTCAGGGATTGTTGACGATATCTTCTGGATGTAATTGAAGCTCGAGCAGCTAACCAGAGAACCATTCGATTGCTATATTAACATAGAAACTCTGTAAAGACATAAGAGTGTCCAGAAAGCACTATGACAGCTGTTAAATGGTTAAAAATAAAATTTTCCACAACCTACTGCTCGAGATAGATGCTAAGATACAAAATACAAAGCTAGAAGTAGACACGAATTTTGTATGATGTCTACTTAAATATTCCAGACAAAATCCGAGTCGACTTCAAGCTCTGACATTATACAATACAGTATGAAATGATTGTAATGTGTTTAAAGCTCATTATCGTGTAGGATTATAAATTATTCAATATGTTGTAAAAATTTCAGCAACTTGTTACCTTTTAAAGAATATTTTTAAACTTTTTTGAATTTAATAAAAAATTCGATAATTGTGATAAAAATAAATCGTGTTAAAAATATTTTTTTCTTGTTAAGAATTTCGCACCAGAAAAACTTTTTCGTGCGAAATGAAAGAAAATTTTTTTCATTCGAATAAATTAATTCAATTTAAAGTTTCATGCTGTATTTTATAATTTTTTCAGCATCAATTATAAACGGAGTAAACCCAAAAAAACCTTTCATCGGGAATTCTTTTTATTCAGATAAAAATAATTTACTCGAGACTTCCACCCGCACATTTAGCGGTGAAACTTTAGATCATCATTATCATTTCTGTCCTAATTAAATTTCCTACTTAAATTTTATCTCTCAATTCGTCGCTAAACTCCTCGAGAAACACTTGTCGAATTTCCCTTTAGTCTCAACTTGCGAGGTTTCACCTTACTCAGAACATTCCTTCAATCTTTTGTCATCTCATACACACGACAAAGACGACGACGACGACATGAAAAGGTTGAATTTTTTATGCTCGATAGATTAAGACTCTATAACAACATGCTGTTAAGGATTGAAAGCATGTCAGAGGTGAAACTAGGAAAGTTTTAGTGGTTAAAAAATTGTTTTCTTACTTTTTTGATAGTTTTGAAATTTTTGTGAATTTCTGGAATTCGCAAAGATTCTATCTTTACTTTGAATCTTATTAATCGAAGCTCTAGGTGTTGATGGGATAGCTAAATCACCAGAGAATATAAAAAATCCTATTTTCATCTATAAGCTACGTAATAGAGCAAGAAAAGCAGCAGAAAGTTTATTTAATGTCCCCGAGTAACAGAATATATGATTCTATATTTTTTTCTTCAATATTGTAAAAAGAGACAGCATAAGAAATTGATAAAAGAAGCTTACTTCTTTCCTTTCACATAAAAAAAGAGCTTCAAAGAATATTTTCTCTCCTCTCATGTTTCACTTCGATATTGAAATTTTTTTCTCCTCAATCTGATCCGCGTTATTCACGGTACATTTGTCGTAAGTCAATTTTCTATAACATGCTGTTCTATTCTCATGATTCTTGTTACTTAAAATTGGAACTTCGGTTCAAGAAATAATGAAAGTTATGCGAAGCTTAAACATTTCATGCTTTGATTCGTAAATTTGTTTCTTTGGAAATTTTTAAAGTTAAATTTTACATTTTGCATGCAGGATTTACATTTAATGGTTAGGCAAATTTTGGCATTCAGATACAGCATAAATATTAATATTGAAATGTTATGGCATTTTAAGATTTAATTGAACTTGAATGATTTCGATTTAAATGCAAATTTTGTTCAATTTATTCAAGTGCTTTCAATTTAGAAATCTGAATTGTTCAATTTTTGATAATTTATTGGATGTTTGTAGCACTTTGGATTTGGTTTTGGTTTGTCAAATGTTAAAATTTTGCTAAAATTCAAATTTAGTAAAGATTGTCGAATTGTAGCTAAGGCATAAGAAATCAAAGCCAGACAAACACAATTAACGTTGACTTATGTCAAATGTACCTTGAAACCACAACACCTCCACATTCGAGTAGTGAATTGCAATAATTCCTAAAACGTGGCAAAAAAAAGAAAATGCCACGAATACTTCCTTTAATGCTGTTCATATATACACAGATCCATTTATTTCTTTACATATTCATATTTATGTCTGTATATTCAATCCCTTCATCTTCCTATTGTTGACATTTTTATGTGCGAAAAAAAGGGTTCCCTTTGAAAAATCAAACAACACAATCAACTGACACTTGAGACAGAAGTAAAATATGCTTAAGCTTTTCACATATATAAATTTAATATCACATGATATTATTAGCTTTCTTTTAAGCTATGAGAAGGAAAGCTCTCGAATTTCCAGATTTTTTTTTATATTCATGAATGTTTTCTTTGTCTGTAAAAGTTTTCTAAAGCTTATTCGAATATAAAGCTACAAAATTCAAAGGAAACATTAAGTTATAAATTTTTATACAAAATTTTATAAATTTTTTAAACTTTCTCCATTTTAAGTTCCTAGAAATTAAGCAAATTCTGCTTTGTTTCTACGGTGCTTAAACAGACCTTTGGGCATAAACTTCCATCTCTTCTAAGAAGGCAACACTGAAAATTCAATCAAAAATTTCCTTCTCGTTGATTTTGTTGTTGTTTACTTCCAATCCCACTGTTTTTTTTCTCATGTGTCGCTCGCATTTTTCAAATAGAAATAGCGACAAATTTACAGCTCGTAAAATAGCATTTGTAAAATTTTCACAGCAAATGACAATCCCCCCTTTAAAAAATATGCTTTTTTATTCTAATAAATTATGTTAAGCAACAAATATTCAATGTTTCTATGATATGAATCCTTGGGAGAATTTTATCAAGTTTTTTTAATAGATTGCAAAAATGAATTCTGACTGAAATGAAGCAAATTAGAATTAATATTGTTGTGACAGAGTAGAATTTATAGGTTCAAGGCTAAAGTAGTTGAATCTGCCATTGTAAGAGTTAGACTTTTGTTGTGGAATTGGAATCAACATCCTTGAAATTCCCAAAACCTCAATTTTGTAAGAGCGTAGGTTCGATTCCCATCAAAAGGTGATCCATCAGTAATTCAAGAGTTTTGAAGTTTACTCGGATTTTGTAATCAAATGATGAATCGAAAAAGCGAGAAACCAAAGATTTGGGGTTGAATCTTCCCCTCATTAAAAGACTATACACAAAAACTTGATAGAATTTTCCTAAGGGATAAACAGAAAAAAGCTCGTTCCCTATCAGAACGATAATCACAAATAAAAGAGTGAGTAATTAACATTAATTAAAGGGTGCGCTAGACACACAGTATTATTTCGGTTGTAGCTAACAGGTGGAAAAATAGACAGCGTAATGTGTATGAGAAGTTATTTAATTTGTAATTAAAAGTTATAAATTATATAGCAAAAGTCCCAGAAGCTCCTCATCTAAAATACACGGAGCGAGATTAATCCAAAGAAGATTTTTCAATTAATTTAAAATTCATTGCTTTTTTTTATTTCTTGTTACTTTCGTCATTTATGTGTTGCTCGTTTTTGTTATTTTAATGTGTCTTCTTTCATTATTTGATTTCGCAAACGCGAGATAAATTACAATTTCTTATTCTTTCTTGCCGTAGACAGCCAGTCTCTTGTATTTTGCCTAATACAACTTCATTACAGTATAAATCTCAGTGATGGATAAAATGGAAATGAAAAATTTCATTTATGCTCGTAATTGCGGGTTGAATTTCTACATTTTTTATTACTTTTTTTTTATCTCACTTCATTTTTATGTGCCGTAATTTATCTCATTTCATGACGAGAATCTCCTTCAATTTAACATTATATCCATTGGTGTACACAAAAATGCGAATTTTAAGGGAGTGATTTATTATTCAGATAATTTAAAAAGCATCAGCATTGTCTTCATTACGTGAATAATTCCCTTCTGAATCAAGCAGCTACATTCACTAGTTACCTTACAAAAACATTTAATGGCTCATGTACCTTTCATCTTACGTCAATGAGACATCCATGTATATTTTGTCCTCATTTTCATTACAACACTTTTCTATTAAACACAAGAAGCCAATGACATCTTGTCGTAGCAAAACTTAATTAAAATCATTATAATGCTTTGAGCTATAGAAATATGAAAATGAACACGTATCAACATGTAAGCTTCCATATTCATAATAATAATATTTTTGAGATATGAAGCTATAGAAGAATTTTTTTTGCATCCTCATGTATAAAATATTCGAAAAGCTTCTGGATTTTAAAAGAAAAATGTTTTCTGTTGCCCGATTGGCACAGTTAAGTCACTAAGACACTGGTTTGTTGCTGTGTCAATAAAAAGACGTCTTAGAGAACGCTTGGAATTTTTTAAAACGGTTTCAACTTCTCAGCAGGGAGAATGGGGTAAAATTTGTGTAAAGTTTAATCACGTATGAAGTTTGATTCCACTTGGGTTCCCCTGTACGGGTTCCGTTTCATGACAAAAGAGTTACTTAACGCCAAGACGAGCTAAGCCAGAAGATTCTCAAAAAGTGCGAAAATGTTTAAACCCATAATAAAGTCAAGACATTTTCCAAAGGGAGGAGGAACGGTTGATGTTTGACACCCCCCCCCCCCCCCCTCTATTTGAACACACCCCTGACTTTGCAGTCAAAGCAAAATACTAGATTCGTCACTCGGTCAAATTTGTATGCACTGTAATGGAATGAGATATTTAATGAAGCATAATATTCTGAAGCCACAGAGCATAGACTTTATCAAAATAAACCATAAACCACATCGGATTGTATGATGACCAAGAGTTAGTCTCTCTTTTATGACACAAAATTTACTAATGAATTTTAAATATTTGAAAAAGCTTTTAAAACACATTTCATGTTTGGACTAGCGTTGCTCCTTTGATGTTACTTACTGCTTAATTAAAAATTATTATGGGACATGGAAAGCAAGAATCAAATATTAGTACGTAAATGTTTCGTGCTGAAAAAAAAACATTTTTTATAACGGAAGAGATATGTCGTATCATTTTCGACACCCACAAACATAAATAAACATAAATAGACGAGGAAGTAGATAAAATAAAAGATATGAAAAGTCGGAAATGGAATGTAAAATATTTATGGTGTTGCTGAATAGCATCACATATTGAAAGAAAAATAAAATACATTGCAAAAAAAGTCAAAATAAATTTTTGAGCAGCCAACGCGAATATTATTAGGGTTCGTTCACTTATTACGTAACGCACTAGGGGGGGAGGGGGGGTCTAAGATTTTGTTACGGTTTGTTACAGGGGGAGGGGGGGGTCTAAATTTTGTTACGTAACTTTTCAAAAAATATATTTTTTTATAATTTTTTCTATATTAATTTTAAATTTTTTTAACGTTAAATTTTAACTTAAGAACTTTTTAGCAGAGATCGAAGCCGATTTTTTCGGCTTAACTCAATTTTTGATTTTTTTGATAGAAGAAAGCCATTTAACACCCATTTCAAGTATTTAAATTGAACTTTATGTGCTTTACTATGATTCTGTGTAACATTTTGTCAGCATGTAGCTATAGGAAGCTCAGAATTTCAAGTTAGCCG